TGTCTGCTGGTCACAAGGGAGAAAGCAGACATTGCCTCATTATTGGAGAAACAGTCACTGCTCTTTATCATATGCGGTCCAGTGCTGTACGAGGAAGGGCAAGGACATAAAGGGTGGCCGAGACAGCCCTCAACCCTCCATCTGTCTCAGGCTGATAGAGCCTGTGAGGTTTACTCACCTTCCCCAGACCATTGTGGGTTCCGATTGACCCCAGAAACGGCACACCAGCCATGAGAGCCGGGCAGAAAGAGCACAGAGCTCAGCTAAGAACAGTGAGAGTGCCCAGATCCAAGCATGGTGGCAACTTGACTTTGAGAAGATGATTCACTTCTGAGGACTGAGTGGGCTTCTTTTATTACCAGGATTACTAGGAAGCCAAGTTCAGGTCTCAGTCTCAGTTTATTAACAAGCACTCTACTTAGGAAACCTAGAGTTTAATTTCAAAAATATGGAGAAAAAATAGGTAAAAAACCATCGACTCATTTCCTTCCACTTGGAAACTAGATAAACTTCTCTCAAGAGATGCAGGTTTATCCTTCAATCCCTTAGGGAACCGAAGGGACTCTTTACAAAAGCTCCAGGTGTGGGAGACTGGGAGGAGAAAGGGATGTGGGAATTAGCTCTTGGGAACACGTTTTCTTTGGCGTCTGTAAGGGCAGCTCTATCTCCCAAGGATGAGGAGGGAAAACACTATTTTCTTTTTCCTTTAGGATCTTAGCAGGCCACAATGGCTTAAAGATTCTACATTTTTGTTTGCTTATTGTTTACCGGGGGAAGGACAGGTATTTTAAATCATGTGATAAAAGTAATCAAACATGGCTATTTTTAAAAACATGGTCTCTGCAAAGTGTGGTTGCCATGGTAATGACTTATGATAGTTCAAAGCCAAGGTAATTACTAGGAGAAAATCTTGTCTAACATGTGCTTTCATATTTCCTGCAATGCTTAATCGCCCCTACTCCCCAGCATTTGTCAGTTTTTTTCCCCCCTTAGCTTGTGATCTTTAGGTTCCTGGGGACTCAGTGTTTATCCTGGCGAGAGAAAAGTGATTCCCTCTAGTGTAGGGGAGTGTCTCCTTACCGGTAATCATTAAGGGAAAAGTTTTATTTTATTGTTCCTTTGCTATGTTATAAGAATCACTGATAAGCCAGCCTCCCCTTTTCTTCTTATTTCTTACCACTCTTTGAGGAAGAAAAACAACAACAAGCTCAATTTATATTGCAAAGTGCTAGAAGAATTTTTTTTCGCATAAAGTGAAGTATTTTGCCATCTATTTGACACTTACTGGCATTTCTAAAAACAATTGGGATTACAATGAAAATTTCCTGATAAATACATTATCAGGGGAGCTAAACTCTGTTCAGGATTTTTGTTGTGTGTTTATGTATTTTTGTTTTTAAGTGGTTTTAGGGCTTCTTAATACTAGTGAAAAAGGCTTGCCATATTGAAAATACAAATGCTAGGCTGCTTTGTCTTTGATTTCTGCTTCCTTTAAATCAGCAGTTCTCAACCTGTGGGTCGCGACCCCTTTGGGGGTCGAACGACCCTTTCACAGGGGTTGCTTAAGACCATCGGAAAACAAAAAGATATTTACATTATGATTCATAACAGTAGCAAAATTACAGTTATAGAGTAGCAACGAAAATAATTTTATGGTTGGGGGTCACCACAACATGAGGAACTGTATTAAGGGGTCACGGCATTAGGAAGGTTGAGAACCGCTGCTTTAAATCCTCATCGTTGAGATTCATTGGGTGGAATTCTCTGTTTTGGGTTTTCCTGGCCCAATGGAACTCAACAAGGATGAGAACTACTGAGTATTTATGAAGAACGCCAGGAAGTGAAGGGAGCTTAAGCGAAAACAGTGGATCCAGTGTCAGGTGGGTAACACACTTATTGGGGTTATTCCTTTGTGAAGCATATAAATGTTGAATCGCTATGTTGTTTTGTACACCTGAAACTAATTAAAATAAATAAATAAATAAAAATAAAAATTAGGGGTGACCGGTTAGCTCAGTTGGTTAGAGTGTGGTGCTGATAACACCAAGGTTGCCGGTTCGATCCTCACATGGGCCACTGTGAGCTGCGCCCTCCCTAAAAGAGTCAACTATGCCATTGTAGCATGAAAGCAATGTGTAGCCAATGTGACCATGTGGCCATGGCCGTTTCTCAATACAATTTAAAAATAAATAAATAAATAAATAAATAAATAAATAAATAAATAAATTCAACAAGTACTCTTTGACTTCCAAATAAACAGTAAATATATAGTTGTAAAAAAAAAATGTAAACAGTGGATCCTGAAAGAAATTGTAACATCTACCTTTCTGGCAACCTGGATAAATCAAAGCTTAAGGAATGGATGGCAGCATGGGTAAGCGTTTTTACTGCTGCTACAAGAGCGTAGCTGCTGCTGAGATGAAGAGAAAATATGTTTTCCACATCTCACTTCCAAATTGGAGCATTAACCCAGATAATGAAGGCTGTGAGGGGATACACAATGTTATTCCAACTGTAGTTAAATCTACATTTTGGCCAACTAGTCTTACCTGGAATAAAGGGCCACCTAAGCATCACTGATAATATCCTTGTATGAGATAATGTATTGTGTGTTTCAATCAGCTGACATTATAGATTGGGGCTGCCTGCAGGCTTCAAAAATTCTAGTCTCTTTTAGGTGTTAGCAACTTGGACACCACAGAGAAGCAGAGTCTTGCTAGCTCATTATATTTTAGGAGATTATGAGAGAGGCTCAAGTGTAAGATCACAGACTAAAACTATAATTGTTATCTTACTTTCAGTTAGTTAAAGATAACTGTTAAATGGGGAGATTTTAAAAAAGCCACAAAATACAAGGACATTAATGAAATCAGAAATGGCATTCCAAGTTCTCTGACTGTAACCCAGCCCAGAGATGGCCTGGGGCGGGATGATGGCAGGCACACAAAAGGTTACAATTGTCCTTAGACTCCACCCCCACACCTGTCAAAGAATCTTCATTTTTTTCCTTACCTATTTCAAAACACGCTGTTAAAAAATGTGAGAAACATCATGTTTCTTTTTAGAGAGAAAATAAATTTTCATGGGCCAAGATTTCAATGTTGTGTTTCCAGTGGGATAATGTTACCAGTGATTTTTTTAAAAAAGCATGTTCTGGATTTGTCACTTGGGGCGTAAGTGATATCAACTCTCCACACGCTTCCTAGAGGTAGCTGGTTACAACCACAGCCCAGCCTGGGGGTTCGCTGCACACATATGGCTTAAAGTCCTTTGAAATAAATGAAAAAATATAAATAATATGTGTTCCGAGAATGTAAAATGCAATTTGAGACTCATTGGATGAAACTAGGCTGTTATTATCCTCTCACTGTATTAGTGGCTGACATATGAACTTTTGTGCCCAGGCACTGTACACAGTATTGAGTGAAATATAACCGTGTAAAAGAAAGGTGACATGTTTAATAATAATAAAGGAGTTAAAGACTTTAAGAAGATTTAAGAGTATTGCATGAGTGTGTTTGTGCACACAGAAACACATATTTCATGATTTTAAATTCAAAATCTTAAGAAAAGGGATGATTTTAGTTGAGACCAAATTAGTGGTCTAGCAGATCAAGCAGAACAAATATCTCAAAGCACAGAAGAAGAAAAGAAAGATGGCAATTACAAGGAAAAGGAGGAGAAAAAAAAGCGGATGGAAAAGTAATAATTGAACAAATAATAAATGAAAAGTTCCCTGATAAATATCTTAGCCTGCAAACAGAAAAGTCTCCCCAGTGTGGGCAGTTTAAATGATCAAAGACATGCAAAGTATATCCTGGTAAAGTTTCTGAACTTTGAGGATACGTAGAAAGTCTGATGAACTTTCCAAAAGAAATCAGAAAACTAACCAACCCACCACCAAAGAAAAACCGAATTAATTACTTTCAAGTGGAAAAAAAATGACATTGGCATCAGATTTGCCATCTATAACCTTGGAATCTATAGAATAAAGGAACAGCATCTCTAGATGATTGAAAGAAAATAAATAAAGGAAAATCCTTGAATAAGAAGAGACACACTGCAAAGGAAACCATTATAATAACTGAGAACAAAAATCACTAAAACTACAGCAGAGAAAAGAGGAATTTGGAGCGGGGTGACAAGGGGGAGACGTTCAGGAGGGGGTGGTGGAAAAGATGTAGGGGAAGAGGAAAGCAAAGGTACCCTGAAAGTCTAATTCTTATGGAGTGGGGGGACAATGGGGAGAAATAGAGAATGTCAGGGGATGAAAGAGTTGGTATTTTATTTTCACATGATGATAGAGAAATATGCATTTGATTATAAGCAATAGAAAATGGGTAGCTAGCGATTTAAAGGAATCAAAATTAAATTAAGCCTTCCAAAGAGAAATGCTTGCAAGTAAATTAGATGCTTTTGAAAACTCTAATCTTTAATCTCTTTTATAAAGTCTGCTATTGACCTGTCATTTTCTAACAGTGGAATATGAGCAAAAACTTTCCTATCTACTTTTCAAACTATAAAAGAATAGGTAAATCAGAGCACGAATAAGATAATAAACCTAGAGAAAATTCCTGCCACATACTAAGCACTCAATATAAATGGTAGTTATTATGGCTGATTTTAGAGAAACTGGCTCTGGTTATTCTCCCTGGCATAACAACTAAAATAAGCATGGTTTCTTATAGAAGGCAACATATAGGTAACATTTAAACCTGGGCTGAACTTTAGAGATCAGAACCCTTCCTTTTGCATGTGAGAAAATAAGGCTCTTGACCTGCTCCAAGTCACACATCTGCTGCATGGCACGGCTCAAATGCTTACATATAGAAATGCAAAATGTAAATTCATAAATTTAAAAATACTGTTATTTTAAAAATTATTTTCTTCATTATTCTCCTGAGACATTAGATTTCAGGACCCCCTCACACAATTATGCGTTTTTTTCCTCTCACACATATGTTTAAGAAATATTGGGTATTTCAGACAGAGATTCTTACTTTTTGGTCAATGTATTTATTGTCTTCAATTGCAGACCGTTTGGGGTGATCACACGATGAGGAAGAGGCCGATGGAAGGCTTCTTAAGAGGCAGCAAGTGTCCTGTTGCTGGCGATCGATAAACTGCTTCATAAAACTTTCCCTTTGCAAACGAAGGATACATACATCAAGCATTATTAATGAGATGGAGCAAGGGTAGCATTTCCCAGTGATCGTTTGCTTAAGCTACCATTAAGCAGTGACAGAAGTTCTTAGAAAACAAGATGTCATACCCTGAGTGGTGATTAGATTAATTACCAAAGTAATTCATTTAGAGAAAGTTTCCTAAATCTTCAGTCATTCCTGTTATGTCCCTATCATAACTTTTAAGCAATGATATTCAGTAACTCATGGTATTTTTTAATCCTCTTGTGGTAATAAGATACTTTTTTCCTCCTCGAAGACTTAAAAGAATTAGTTAATCTCTCTGAACTTTCATTCACCTTAAGAATCTTTGAGAGATAATTTTGCATTAAACACTCAAAATAACTCAAAAAAATTTACTTCATCTGATCTCTAATGCATAGCGAGAATTGAAATAACATCTTTACAAATAACTGCTAATCTTGAATCTAATTTATGGCTCTTTTATACTTCATATTTTCAGGTTTTAATTTTATTTTTTTTACATCAGAAATGCAAGTACATTTCCATTTGAATTTTAAATATTATTGCACCCATTTAGTCTCATACTTTTATAACCACCTCATAGAATTGGTTTTAAAACTAGTTATATTAAAAAAATGTCATATTTCATATTATTCTGGTTCTATTTGTAATTTTTGAGCTATAACAGGAAGACTTTCTTTTATTTTGTAAAAATAAGTGTTGTAAAGCATCTTTTATGCAATGGCTTAACTGGAGGGCAAGGTGGTAGAAATCAAATTATTATGAGTGGGTAATGCCATCGTTCTTTTAAAAAGTGGAAGACAAATTATATTGCAATGAGACATGGCATTCTAAACAACTGCTGTTACAGTAGTACAGAAACCTGGCCAGTGGCATTTCTCTATTGACTTGAAAAGAAAAGGGCCTCCAAGTCAATTTTATCCTTAGATGGTTGAGGGTCACAGATTGATGCCTTATCTGCCATCTCTGCGACCTGAAGCACCTTCCCTAGTTACCAGGGAAGTCAAATCCCTGAGGAGCATCTCAGGGAGGAGCAGTGGGTAGCAGCCTTCTTACACTAATATACTTGTCAAATGACACTGCTCTGAATATACTGTTCAGAGGTGTCAATGGTTTTAAAACGGAGGTAGAGAGAGTAGAAATGTAGGTAATTTAAAAATAGAAAAACAACACACCCACATGAGTTTGAAAGAAGAGCTGAATCATATTTAAGATGAATCTTTTACAGGGTGTTTAAGATAAACAATTAAAGAAATACTTGAATACCTGATTTTAGGAACTGTAAAATCTGAAGGAAGCTTTGAGATTTTCACCATTTGCGGTCTGTTGGGAAATTTTTCAAAGATTCGAAGGCGCAAAGGGAGCTTTTCTTTGGTGTCTGCGTTGGCTTCACTTTGCTTTAACTAAAGAAAAAAAATAGAGAGAAGAAAAGAGGGGAACCTATAGTGCTATCAGTCATAGATGAGATTTTTTGTCAAAGAAACAATGAGTTGTTACACGAGGGAACAGTAGATGGCAGCAAAGAACTGCCAAGTATACCTGTCACCTGCCATAGAGTGCTCTCTGCGTTCAAACTGAGCACTAGGAAAACTAAACAAAAAACTAGACCAGAAAAAAAAAAATTAGAAGAAGAATTCTAAATATAAACTCCTTTTCATACCAAACATTATTTTCTGTTGACCTATTTATTATCAAAAACATATTTAAACAATAAAATTTGTTTTTATAAATATATGTGCTAGAATTAGAAATCAAAAGAATAAAAAATAAATTGAAATCCTAAGTCATTAACACTTAAAAACACTAAAAATGTCAAGAAAATTGATCATGTACTTTACAGGTTAAAAAGAAAAACTCAAAATGGAAATAGCACGTTGGTACATAAAGCAAGAGGCTTCTTTCTGCTTAGATGTAAAGGTGCTTGGGAATTATTACATTACATGCCATAAAATATCTTTGCAAGAAACAACATGAGAAATGTACGTATGTATGTATGTATGTATGTATGTATGTATGCATGTATTCTTTTTTTTTAAGGTTTTAGTGGGGAATTGGGGGAGGGGAACAGCATTGGGGAATCGGGGAAGGGGAACAGACAAGTTGCTGTCCTTTTGTCCTTCAGTCTAGTTGTAGAGGATGTCGCTTGACTGGCTCATGTTGGTATTATCATTGCGCTCTTCCAGGGTGAGGCAGTCGCTCACCTGCCATTGGATGGCCGCTCACGGCGGCTCATGACAACTCACGCTGGCTGCCAGCCACACACGGTAGCTTACGGCAGCCCACTGCAGCTCCACTGCAGCCTACACCATCACAGGCAACTCAAGGCAGCCCAGCTCCAGATGGAGCTGTTGTTCACCATATTAGCTGTAGAGGGCGCAGCATCACTGGCCCTCATGTGGGATCTGAACTGGGGCCCTGCCATCAGAGCCAGCATCCCAAGCCAACTCTTAACCAATGTGCCACTCGGCCAGCCCTGTATGTATTCTTCTATGAGGTGGTTTCTATATTTCTACAAATGAGGTTTCAGGGAAGCTGAGGTTTAACATCACAAACTGGAACCAGTGCTGAGCTAAGGAGACATCAGTAAGGATCAGTGTGACTGGCAGAATTCTGACCTGAAAGATGAGGTAGTGGCTTCCACACTTTCTCACTCCCCCTTTTTTCCCCTCCCAAGGCTGGCTTCTCTTGCAGCCCCTCCTTACTTCCCTGGACCATCCACTCCCCTCCTCTCAGACCTCTGGACAGACCAGAATTCATCTCTCCATGTCCCCCTTCTCAAGTCCCGCCTCCTGTCCTGGCTCCGCAAACTTCACTGTCCCTGTTCAAAGAGTACCTCCAATTCAGCAGGCTTTTGGGTCGATTTAGGAAAACATGTTTCAAAATCCATCAGCTCCATACTCCTGGTTGGGTATGCTTTTACTTGATAACTACAATTTCTCTTGGGTGTGTGGAAAGATTAGCATGAGAGGCCGAGAAAGTTATTATAACAGGAAGATAGGTGGCAACTGTTCCCTCCTACCCATGTGGGGATATCCAAACTGAGAGAGAACATGAAGCTGCATTTTGGGGGGAACATCCTAATTTCAATACGTTGTGTGGCTTAATTGTCCAGCTGGTTGTGAATTCATAGTGAGATTTTATGTCTTATTTCTAGTTCAGAAAATGTGCCTCTTTTCTCATTCTACTACAGAAATGGTTTTAACGTTTTTGTTTCATATAATATAAATATTTTACCATAGCCATGTGTAGTCTTATTTCATTTTGTGGCTCACCTTAGTTTTTTGTTTTTTTTTTTGTCTTAGATGGTAATTTTATTTAGGGAAGAGGCCACTGCTACTCACTGGCTACCTTCCTCCCTCAGTGGAACACTGAGCACAGCATGTTCTAAATAATTTGATGGTTATGATGATGACAGTGATAAAGAATTAGCTCCCAAAGGCACAAAACAACAATGGCTAGCATCTCCATGAGAAGCAGGCAATTAGAAAAATGGCTCCATTGATAAACAAAATATTCATGAGAAAGAGACTTATTTTCCAAAAGTTGGTTACACAACTAGTAGGAAAATATTTCTCAGGGTAAGTAGAGTATACAGAAAAAGAAAAAGCAGTTAATAAATTGTCAGAGCAGAAAGAAAGACAGTCATATGAGGCCAAAGACAGGCTGAGAAGATAGAGCAGAAATAAGGTATTTAGTTCAGGCATTTGCTGACACATCCATTTATATGTTGATGCACTCACTTATAAATAAAATCCCAAAGGCCAGGTTCATCGCTAAGTTTCTGGGGATAAAAAAATAACTAACACACAGCATTTGCCCTCACAGAGCCCTTATTATATTAAATAGATGCTTATATAAACAGATAATGGCAATAAAATATAACAGCTACTCTTGCCAGGATAAAAACAAAATGCTGGGAGCACAAGGTGAGGAGAAAAGGGAGGAAAAAAAAAATGAAGGTGCTACTTCTACTTCCAGAGACTTCTTGGGCAGCAGAACCGCTACACATGACTATATTAGTTAACACTGGGGTTTTAGATGTACCAAGACTGGTAGGTGTATTTTTTTTATTAAAGTTTATTGGGGTGACAATGGTTAGTAAAATTACATAGGTTTCAAGTGTACAACTCTGTAACCCATCATCTATATATCACATTGTGTGTTCGCCACCCAGAGTCAGTTCTCTTTCCATCACCATGTATTTGATTCCCTTTACCCTCATCTACCACCCCCGTTGGTAGGTGTATTTTATGAGAATTAAATGTCTTCAAAGAGGCACAAGAGTAAATGGTATATTAATCAGGACATGTCACCAAAACAAAAACACAGGGCTCGTTCCTGAAAACCTCTCAATTTCTCCATCCTTTTGATCCCACCAGTACTTCCCTAGTCAAAGATTATCACCTGGGTTCCTGTACGCCCTTCCAAGGTCTCCCCATCTGGTTTGGCTCCTGTGAACCTGTTCTCCATTCTGCAGTCATAGTAATCATCTCACCTTCTGGCTTAAGCCCTTCAATGGTGTTCCATTGTTCTTAAAACAAAACCCTTAATCTTTGGGCATTAATGCCTGATTTGGCTGCTCCCTATCTGTCGAGCTTCACCTGGCCCGATACCATGTTGTAGTCATGTCATCTTCTTCTAGTTCCTGAGACTTGTCTGGGCCTCTGCCTCACAGCCTTTGCACACACTGGCCCTTCTGTCGGGAGCTCCACTCTTCCCCTTTCTCTCTTAGTGTGCATTAACTTCTACTTGGTCTTCTGACTTCAGTTCCACTCGCGATTCCTCGGAAAAGCTTTCTCTGATCAACAAGGTCTTCCTCTTACAAGCTCCTAGCATATTGGGTTGGACCATATGAAATTGCTGTTGGTGTAGGTCAAAGCAGTCCAAAATAGGCAATTTCTTATGGTTCAATCTGATACATATTGTATTAGGTTCCTAGGACTGCTTCAACAAATTATTATAAGATTGTTATCTTAAAATAAAAGCAATTTATTCTCTCAGTGTTCTGGAGGCTAGAAGTCCTAAATCAAAGTACCAGAAGGGCCATGCTCCCTCTGAAGGCTCTAGGGAAGAGTCCTTCTTGACTTTTCCAAGCTTGTCAGCCATCCTTGGTGGTCCTAGGCTTATAGGTGCATCACGCTGATACCTGCCTTTGTTACCACAATGCCTTCTTGCCTGTGAGTTTCTGTCTCTCTGTCTGAATTTCTCTCTTTACTCTTACAAAAATACCAACCATGGAAATTAGGACCTCACCCTAAACCAGTTTGATCTTAGTTGATTACATCTACAAAAATCTGATTTTCAAATAAAGTCCCATTCTGAGGTTCTGGGTGGACATGAAATTTGGGGGGACACTATTAAATTCACTACATGTAGCATTATTTGAAATTATAGCATGTTTGACCACTTGAACACTATATCTCTTCCCTGAGACTGTAAACTCTACGAAGACAATGATTGTGTGGGGGTTTTCCATTATTTTATATCCGGGGCCTGACACGATACTTGACACAAAGTAAGCTAAACAAATATTTGTTGAATAAATAATTATACTGATCAGATGGCAGAACTAAACTCCACAGCAGATAACTGGGAAATAAGAGAAAGGATTTTAGGTATATCCTGAAGGGTGGCGCGGTAAGCAGATAAATAATCAATAGATACATAAATTTGTTTCTGTGGAGTATAGATGTCCCTAGATAGAAGAGAATAAAATTTGACTCTCTGGCATTTAATCTGAATTTATGTCTGCTGTGTACGAACTAACTGATGAATGCTTAGAATAAATTTACACATAAAATTTTATAATATTAATCAAATATTCTAGAATATAATGTTTAACATAGGTAGGTTACCAGTATTGAAAAATAATCACTTTGCCTATATGTTTTCTAAATGGCACTCATCTCATTCTAATTTTTATTAGAGTTACTTATATTCCCCAAAGCTTTTAAGCTCCCTAGGGGCTAGATTCAGTTTTTAATTTACTTTTATAGCACCTTCCAGAGAATAAAAATAAAGTAACTGTTGGTGATTAAATAAATTAGAGTTCAGCACGATTTGATCATTGCATGTGAAAGTACAGAGGGCAAATGAGAAGCTCTTTTTGATTGATGACTTGGAAGGTTCTTCAGGATCTTGCAAACCCCCTTCTTGAGTATCATCAGGTCTTGTTGCCCCATAGGTGTGCAGAAGGGCCAAATGAAATAGAAAAAGATGAGCGGCTGCTCAAATGGTAGATATATCAGATCTCACTGGTGAGGCGCGAAATAGAATCCTCTACAAGCAGGCTCGGGCCTCCTTCTGAACGGCAGTTGCCAAGTGCTCTTTTTTGTTGTTCACAGTTAAGCAGCATCAACTAAAAGATATACATACACATTAAGTGGCCTGGGGACCCTGTCCT